TGCACTTCCTCTCTACCCTAGGCTGTCTTGACCCAGCTTCTGCCTTCCAGTATTTTAGGACGCACCCCACCACACACACAACTGTAGCACTTCCCATTTCCTTCCCTTTTATGGATCTGTAACTGCTTGTTTGTCTTCTATCTGCTATCCTCCTGGTGTCTCCCAGTGTCTGACTAGAGGCCCCCAGGGTTGGAGCGCAGGGCTTGCTTTGCTGCCTCGCATCACATGGGTGTGAGTCCCAGCTCCACTGCTCACTGACTAGCCTCACTCATGGGGTGAGTGACCTTTCTCCTGTGTGTCTGCTCGTCGGCGAGGATGGAACAGTAGCACCCACAGGGCAAAATGCAGGCGGGAACACAGGTGACTGCTAGAGCAGAAGCTGCCATGTGGTGAGCCGACAGGACCGTCCCCAGCTCCTCTATGGAGGCATTGTAAACTACAGAGAGTCTCATGGAATCTTTTTTTTTTTTTAAATTTCCTTCTGTATTTCCTAGAACACGGTTACTTCAAGGTCCTTAAATATTTGTTCACTACATAATGAAGGACAGATAGGACGGAAGGAAACATGGGTCTTACATGAATCCTACAAGTAAATGTTTATGGCTGACTGCTCCCGGTACTAAACCTATTTTGCTAAAAGGGAAAGAATATTTGTCTTAAAACCAATCTTCTCAAATAGTATAGGAAGGTCTTTTTTTCTCCACTTGAAGCCATGTGTAAGCTGACACACAAGCCTCATCTGAGCAGGTACTGAGGAAACCTCCTTGGGGGTGAGGACACGAGAACCATGCTGCTGGCCTTAGGATTTGGTGCCAGCCCGTGAGTAACACCATGCTTATGTTGATCATAAAATGAAGCCCAGGAGATAACACGGCTCTTCAAAGCACTAGACGGGAGCATCTGAACCCTTGCCGGCCACTGTGGATTGGCACTGCGGATCCTCTTGAATGCGTTTCCAGCTTATCTAATGCTGCTTTTATTTCCCTGGAGATTTAAATGGGCCTGGAGTCTTCTGGACCAAAAGGATCTAAGAAGCAAGTTATTTATTACTCCCCCATCTTTCTCTCTTATTTGAGACAGTCTCGTGTACCCTAGTGATGTGGGATGCCCCTTCTGTTAGCTGTGAATATGTCCAGCCTGGTCTGGGTAATAGACAAACCCCGTCTCAAAGACAGTGAGAACACTGTCCTTTGAGGTCCCCCTCTCCCTACATTGACTGTCCAGTATTGTGTCTGTCAACAGGCATGGGTGGATATGCTTCGTTTTTTTCCCAGTCTTAAACCACACCAAAAGGGCCCTTCATCCCTCCCCTTTTCCTGTATGTGTCCACACTGTGTGAAGAGTGGAAAATACTGAGCGCTACATTTTCTTGTGCTCTGCTTGCTCTCTAGTTGACTATAGTGTGACCTTGTCCCAGTAATCCCATACCCCAAACCGTGCAAATGACTTCACCCTACCACATCCACTGTCCTGTTTCAACTTCTCCCCTTGCTGGACAGTCTGCACTCTGAAGCCCTGCTGATCACGGCTTCTCAGCCTTCCACCCACACTTCCCCATTCCTCTTCCCCCTAATGTCAATAAAAAGGGTGTAGCTTTGCACACCTTTCTGCTGCATGGGCACATAAGTGTATCTATAACTCACAGGCGGGTACATTTATATGTTTGCTTTGTTTTAAGCACTGTTCACATTAACTTTATGATTCTTTTTTGAGACAAGGTATTGCTACGTAGTACATGTTGGCTTTGAACTCCACATCCTCCTGCCTCAGCTTCCTTCCTGAGGACTAGTACCACCACACCCTGCTATGTTTGCCCTCATCACAATGTTCCCTAGATAGTCTGTAAGTCAGAGGACATATTGCTAGCTATGTAACTTTTCATTTTTAGTTATAAATGGGCAGATAGTCAACATAATTGAGTTCTCTACACATTAGGCAAACAGTTGCATTCTTATACATTAGGAAGAAAAACTAGATTTTGCATCTGAGTCCCCTTAAAAGCTTGCAGTGAGGCAGAATGCTGCAAATGGAGTCTTGCCACGGACCGGCTCAGGTGAGCCACTCAGACCGTGGGGGAACAGGACGAAGGCTCACCTGAGCCAGTCCGTAGCAGAGTCTCAGCATAATTCCTATGGTGCCCAGGTCACTCTGCAGAGCCACATCACTGTGTAGCTGCCTAAAAGCGTTCAAGGGACTTCAGCCTTTGTACTGGGTCCAAATATCAAATTTAAAAAGTCTCTTGCACAGATGAAAGAGACTCGACTCTCGTGCACTGACAATAATTCTGTCTTTTTCAGGTTGTCACTGTGAAAAGGACAACAGCATGGCCTCTCAAGTAGTTCTTGGCATCTTTCTCTAATTTAAGCATCTGCCACTCTTTTTTGTTCTCTGTCAATTTTAATTAATAGTTATGAAAGTAATGCCTGGCCTTGGTGAAAGCAGACGCAGCAGACTGTCTGCAGGTGGCCCCTGCTAACACGCAGCAGTTCACTGCAAGGGTCACTGAGGAGGGAAGCCCAGAACCTGCTGGCTCTAGTCATCAGCGTCACTTTGGATCAACCCTGTCCTTTCATTGTTCTTACAAAACCTCTTTTAGGAAACTTCTCAGAAGCCTGGCTACTGTGACAAATGTTTTCAAATGCCAACCTCAACCCTGGTTGGTTTCTGTCAACTTGGCACAAACTAGAGTTATCGTAAAAGAGGAACCTCAGCTGACATCAACTGACAAGATGTGTTCATCAGATTGGCCTGTGGCAAGTCTGTAGCACATTTTTCTGATAGATGAATGATGCGGAAGGGTCCAGTCCACTGTGGGTGGTGCTATCTCTGGGCAGGTGGTCCCAGAGTGCATAAAATCAAACTGAGCAAGCTAGTAGCAGACCTCCTCCACAGCTTCTGCCTCAGCTCCTGCCTCCAGGATCCTGCTTAAGAGTTCCTACCCTGACATCCTTCATCACGCACTGTGATGTGGAAGCTAAACTAGATGCGCCCTCTCCTCTACAGGCTGTGTTTGACTGTGGTTTGTAAAGGCAGCAGAAGGCCTAAGACACCGCTGAAAATAAAACCCTGTGGAAAAGCAGTAAATCCAGAGACCTTGGTCCATGTGTGCTCTGTAGCTGACTGCCACACTACCAAAGGGAAGTGTGCAGAAGCTCAATCCCCATGATTAACCAGCACACTTTTGGGCCAAATGAATTCCTATTATAATATAAAACTAAAGGCTTAGTGGCAAAACAATTGAACAAGCCAGGCATGATGACCATCCTAGCACTTGGGAAGCCAAGGCAAGAGGAGACACCACCATGCCAGCCTTAGCTACAGCACAAGACCCTGGCCTCCAAACAATATAAAACAAGTCAACGAGAAAACAGAGGAACCCCAAAGTTCCCAAAGACGACACCGGAAGGGAAAGGACAGAACTTGAGAGGAACCCTTTGGGATATGGTGACAAAAAGTCCATGGAATGAAATGATTAACTCAGAACTATTAAAGTGTCAAGCACAAAGGGAACGTCTTGCTTCAGAGACGCACAATGGCTGTGCCAGTAGCTGGGCTCTACCCTAGGGGTGGCAACAACAGCCTTGAACGCAGGTGCCTGTGTTTGTTTAGTGCTGAGAGAACAAATTTTACGCTTTTAAATACTTGGAAAAAATTAAATGACATTAAAATTATATAGTCTTCTAACTTTTAGTGCCCACAAATAGTTTTCGGGGAATACAGACAGGTTTCCCAACAGCCACTGTGTTAAAGGGCAGAACTGAGTGGCTCAAACTGAGACTATGTGGCCCTCCCAGACTGACACACTGGCAACCTTCCCCTTACAGAGTCTGCTGACTTGGCTGAGCCAAGTCTTACCAGGCAGCTTTTCTTGTGGCACAGGGTTGGTCTCCATTCCCTGTGGAGAGGCCAGTGGCTGTATCTGGGGTTCCATTGCCCCATCAGGCAGTAAGAGACGTGAGAGTGCCCCTGGTGCCACCTGCAGCCCAGAAAAGGAACGGCAGGCAAGGGACTGGGCTGTAGGGGAAGATCTGAAATAATTATGGCCTCACTGATGCCTCTATGGAACACAGACTTGGCTTTCACCACTCTTTAAACTGACAGAGCAGAACATTCACGTATGGGGCGGATGCTCCCCAAAGAGAAGGTGCTCCCAGTATTCCCATCTGCACTAACTACTCCCCACGCACAGAATGAAGGAACACATGTTGTCACAACGAGAATGATAACATGTCTGCCTTTTCTAGGTTCAAAGGGAAGCCACACAGAAGCTTATCATCTCAGCTGCCGCCTGCAGCCTGCAGGTTACTGGCCTTGCTACCACCTCGCCAAGACACCACAGGACTTCTGAGGACCAGGGGGCAGATTTGTCAGTCAGCAAACCTACACCAAAAGAATAAACACAGGAAGTAGAGTGGTTGGTTCTGCCAGCTCCAAACCAAATCAGGACCCCTTGTCTAGAGCATCTCATCATGAGCCTATGCACACTCATTCCTTTCACCAAGGAGACAGACAAGAGCTCACAGCCTTTCGGAGCAAAGAACCCACAGAGAAGAACTCTTCTTTTTGACCATTCCCCTAGAAGCAAGCAGAAGTGTGAGGCTGCACCTGTGAAGTGTGCCAGCATCATGGGGTCTGTGTCCATGCTCCAGTCTGGACTGGACTTATGTGTGTGGAGTTGAATGCTGCAGGAGGACTGCCCTGAGACTTTGGAGCCCAGAGAGGATGGGAAACTGTTAGTCCTGCACTTTGGGAGCCCAGCTTTTGACCCATAAGAAGTCCACGCTGGAGCACTGGAAGGCAGCAGCCACCTGGAGAGGCTGTGGAGGATGAGGGTGGCACATGAGACCCCAGTGAGGGTCACAGAACCACCACACACCGAGTTTCCATTAACCCCACAACTGCAAGGAAGACACCACGGCTGCCTAAGTGTTTGGGACATAAAAGGGACATAGAGGAACATGACAGAGCTTTCTGTGTTGTCTCAAGAGCCTTCAACTTACTTCATCATCTTCATCTTCATCATCATCGGATTCAAGAACACCATCCAGTAAATCTTCTATAAAGAAAAAATTCATCAGAAAAACCACAAGGCTTGGCCTTCAGTCCCTGAATGTCAGCCAGTGCGCTCATGTGAGCATCATAGAGTCATGCTCCTGACCACAAGCCCTGACAGCTTCAGAGCAGGACACTTCTGCAGCCCTGAGAGCTCCTGGCCACCACCCTCCACTCTCCTGATCCCTCATTATTACTCCCATTTACTCCCCTGGCCATCCCCTGATTATAACTGTTTCAGCCACACTTTGGTATCATTCTCAAGCACACTCTGCTTTTAGCAGAATATATTTATTCTTATTCTTTGAACACAGAACTGGAGAGAACTGCAGGGCAGAAAAATGAACTAGTGTTTACTCCAGGGAGCCTGCGAGTTCTGCAAGAGGTGCGACTTCATTTGATCTTCATGAGAGCTTTGTTGACCATCAGTCCTCAAGCACAGGCAACAGTGGAGGCACAGAGAGACCACTTCCTAAGCCCCTTTGCCCTAACCTGAAGATGAAGGTTTGCAAAGGAGCTGACAAGAGGCTACCCTTCAGATGGGCATTATGGGGGCTGGGAGGTGGGAGAGAGAGACAGAGAGACAGACACACAGAGAGACAGACTGACCACAAGGCCATGATCAGGCCTTGGAGAAGATTAGGAGAGTGAGCACTTATACTAGAGACGCCATGATGGGGTCTTGAAGGGAGAAGAGAGCCATCCTTTCAGACTTGGGAGGAACTGCATTAGGAGAGACTGCTATCATTCACAGCAGAACTGGGCCTAAAGGGAAGAACTTCTAAAACCTCCTGAACAAAGAGAGTTTCTGATTCAGACCTTCTTGGGTAGGGTGGGGTGATTGAGGGGGTGGCAGGAAGTTCCACACCATGTGACTTATGGCCTAGCCTACAAGTGAAGGGGAACAGAGCAGGCAGTGGCACCAGGCAAAAGTACGAATTTATCATGCAGCTACAAGGGAGTAGGACTGGGCTTGCCTTCCCCTCAAGGCTGTGTGCTTAAATAGTCAGAACAAGGGCCTGGCAGTTCTTTGTTGGGGTGGGAGGACAAAACCTGACGTCTTCCAAGTTGCCTCATCTGGTCTCTTAGAGTAGACAAGCCTAAAGTGGCAAGTCTATGCTATAACATCATGACTTTCCAGAGAGTAGGGCCGGGGGTGTTGGTGGCACCGAGGTTCTCGAAGGCCGAGGCTCATCATTAGATTGTTAGTTTACACTGATGCACAAGTCCACAATACTTGCTACCAGAGAATGAGCCATTTCCTCACCTGGAAAATGGTGCAAATACTGCTTACTCTCTCGGATTCTGGGAAAAGAGGGGAGGGAATAACCAGGAGGATTTTCTAGCACACTGGAGCTAAGGGACCTGGTCCAGGTACATAGCAGACAACACCCAATATGTTACTTTCTACTCCAAGTGGCCTTCAACAGGTCATCCTCTCTCCCTCAGCATGGCATCTAGACTCCCAACAGCACTCTCCCTAGTGGATGGATGGCTACTGACTTGCCAGGAAGCCCATGAGAATTAATTGTCAACCCGACTGAAGTAAGAGATGCTTATGATATTTGTAAAGTTCACTTCTGATGCGGCTTTGAAGGCTGATGGTTAATCTTGACTGTCATCTTGATGACACTGTGGAAACACTGTGGAAACAAACCTCTGGGCAGGTCTGGGAGGAATTCCTAGACTGGGATAACTGGGTACGAAGACGTACTTTAAATGTGGACTGAATTTCTGAATGAAAAGAGAAAGTGAGCCAGATGTGTGGTGCACACTTTTAATCCCAGCACTTGGGAAGCAGAGATCTCTCTGTTAGATCTCTGTACATTCAAGGCCAGCCTGGCCTACAAGGTGGACAGCTAGGGCTCCTACACAGAGAAACCCTGTCTCGAAAGACAAACAAAGAAAGGAAGGAAGGAAGGAAGGAAGGAAGGAAGAAAAAGAGATAGTGGGCCGAGCACCTGCATTCCTCTCTCTAGTCTCTCTAATCTCAGCATTCCTGACTACAGATGCAATGGGGCGAGCTCCCTCAGCTCATGGTGCCGTGATGAACTGTTCCTTCAAACTGTGAGCTAAAAGAGACCCTCCCTCCTTAGGTGTTTTCCTCAACTATCTCATCACAGCAACAAAGAACAGAGAACACTGAGATGGTTGGCTGGTGAGTGGGAGGGCCTTCCAGGAACATGGTGGCCCCATACAGTAGGCCGGGGACCCAGGCAGGGTAAGAAGGGGTCAAAGTGCAAGTTCCACTCTCTCAGAGCAAAGGTATCTATTGCTGCTCTAGCTTCTTCAGCCTTTCCATGTGAGCTCAGCAGTGATTCCAGGAAGTTTCCAGACCTTTAGCCTTGGATTAGGGTTTCTCTTGTTCTGAGGAGTCTAGATTCTTGGACTGAGCAACTTCCAGGTTCTTGGTCTCTGTAGCAGGGAAACAATCACAGCAGGATGACCTAGCCTCCAATTGTGCAAGCCGAGCTAACAAATCTTTTGTAACACACACACGCGCGCACACACACACACACACACACACACACACACACACACACATTTTCTATTGGTTCTGGTCCTCGAGAGAACCTTAAGAGATCTTTTCCCACGCACTGGTCTGGGTCATAAGTCCCTGAAGGCAGAAGATCTAACTAACTTCTCCCTGCTGCATCTTCCTCATTAGATTTTATCCCCTGAAAGCAAGACACGAAGGTCAAGAAAACCTGAGAGAAGAAGGAAATAGGAGAAAGAGGGAACTAAAGACCATACTTGAAGAGACTTCCTAGTTCACCGAGAAAGGGGTCAGGCAAGTAGGAACTATGAGAGGCAAGCATTCGTGCTGACACAGCCTCAGAAGGGAGGGTCCATACTGACTTTCCTGGGCCCAAGCCAGCAGGACACAGAAGCCTGTCCCTTCACTGGTGCTTGCACACCCTCCTGACCTGCACCATGGTCTCAGAAGGCTGGCTGTCCAGACGGTGCTGTGCACTCTGCATTCACCTGCATATAAATCATCTAATTCCTCTCTCTGCCCACGGGCAGTCCTCCAGTACACCATGAGGAAATGCCTTCTAAAATGCAGAACAGCACTATCACTATGCCACCACTTACACACTCCCTATGGTCATATGTGTTAAGGCCCCTCCATAAGGCTTGTTTTACTTTGACCCCCCCCAGCCCAGTTCCCAATCCCCAATCCTAGAGTCCCTTAACTTATTGGCTCAGACATCCTTACTACCCAGAACCCTCCAGGCCTATGAACTGGAGTCCCTTACAGGCCACAGTTCCTCCTCCTGGGACAACCATCTCTTCACTCTTCCTGAGTTGGTGCATGCCTTACAAGGGCGCTCCCTTGGTAACTAGCACAGCCTGAAGTTGGGGTCCTGCTTGGCCTTGCTTCTGCTGGGTACACTGGCTGGCATCTCTAACCTTTCTTTGTGGTGAGCTAGCTAGATCTGCTGGCTACCCTCATGGACAACTTGAGTCATGGCCTGGGCCCGAGTCAGGGGACAAACCTCCCACAGTTTTTGGCTACGTATTCTGCATGTTTCTGCACCAGGCTGAAATCTTCCTTTAGACTTCACCAGTGTTCCACCTTGCTGGAACATCCTGACAATTTCAAAGCTCCCCTGCTCCCAGGACTGATTTCATTAGTATGACATGGCCCAGACTGGGAACCATGAGTGGAAGATGGCTACCAGTGGGCACTTCCTTGGTGTGCTGGGCTCTTCGGAGAGATGGGGACGTTCTTTTTTCTTGTGTACTGAATGGAACTGTGTACTTGTATTGCTGGTGCCAGGGAAAGCATGGGGAGAGATGGGTGATAAACTTGGTCCCCAGATGCTGGCAGCATCAGGGCCCCCTGTGTCAAGAGTCCACAGAAAGTGCAAGGGGCTTCCCTATCCCTCACACAAAGCTTCACTGTTCTCTTGTCAGATGTGTATCATGGCAATGAAGGGGCTGGAAAGAGGACCATGCTGCCTCCCCCCTGCTGCCAGGTGGCACCTGCATGTTTTTCTGGAATGGTGACATGGTGACATTTTCTACATGGTTCTAGAAAGACTGGTATCTGTTCCATTAACTGGCCACAGGACCTGGGAAAATTGCCCTTATCAGTGGGACAAGATTTAAGAGGGGACAGGAGGGGCTCGTAAAGAGGTCTTACAAGGGAAGAGAAGGCCTCAGGAATTGCTCTGACCTCCTTTTTGTTGACCACAAAAAGTGTGATAGTGTGATAAGAGATCTCTACTGTGATAAGAGATGTTAATATGGACAATGTGGCCTTGACTACCTTGCTAAACACGTGAGGGGAAGGCGTGCGCACACATGTATGTACATGTACACGTGTGAATGTGGAGACCAGGTGTCAACCTGCACACCATTCCAGAGGAGCTGCCCATCGTGTCTGTTGGGACAGTGTCTCTCTGGGATCTAGGCTAGGCTGACTGGCCTGTGAGCCTCAGGGATCTGCCTATTTCCAACTCTCCAGTTCTGGGATTACAAGTGCATGTCACCATACCTGGCTTTTCTTACATGGATGCCGCTGTTCAAAGTCAGGTCCTTATACTTGCACGGCAAGCACTTCAGGGATAGAGCCAACTCCCTGGCTCTCATATCCCCATTGTGGGGTGTGTGAGTATGTGTGTGTGTGTCAGAGAGAGAGAGAAACACTAGATATGGAACCCAGGACCTTATGTAGGTCAAGTAGACGCTGTCCTACTGAGTTACACTCTAGCCTTTGGCTGAACTTTCACGTGTTGAACTCGCCCCCTCTACTTTCTTTAAACACTTCTTTTTTTGCTTGTTTTTATTTTTTGAGGTGGAGTCTTGCTACGTAGTCTAGGATAGCCTTAAACTCTTAATGTAGCCCAGGCTGACCTTGAACTCATTATGATCCTCCTGCCTCAGCTTCTCTAGTACTGGGATCACAGGAATGCACCACCGTATCTGACACAAAAGCCTCCTGAATGACATCAGGCACCACAACCCTCCACGAGGAAGCCTGTGCATCTTTCTGACACACGTCTCCCGTGACACTGACCGGCATTCAGCTGCTTGATGATGAACTCCATCTGGCGGGTCATCTCGGCGTTGCCCTCTGTGATGAAGCATCGCAGGATGTCCTCCATTCCCTAGGAGCAGAGCAGAGACAGCAAACATTTCAGGGTTGCAATGGGAAAGACCACTTTTCAAGTGGGGTAGTTTCATCTAATCCAAAAGGTATTCTTTTCTTCTTTTGGGGAAAGGCTATTTAAAATAAAAATCACTGCTTGGTATTAAACATTTCTTTTAAAATTCACAGTGAAATTGTTTTCTTCTTGGTTGATGATCTCAATTTAATTATGACATTATAATACACTTAGAAAAAGCTGAAAAGGTCATGAGCTTGCACTGTGTGCGTCTATTCCAGCGCCTGTGGTACATGTACACCACTGCCTTTAGTTTGGGAAACGTGGTTTGGGGAGGTGACCCCTTCCCATGTTCTCCCTAAGTTTATACACATTCTTTTCTGAATTTTAGGATCATTTGATCTTTGAAAAGCTGAACCACATGTTTTAAACAAATAGAGGCTTTTTCAAACAACTGTAATTCCTATTCTATCAAAAGAATGATAGAGAGGCCAGGGAGATGGCCTGGCAGGTAGAAACACTGGCTGCACAAGTCTGGTGACCTGAGTATGACCCCTGGAACCCGTGTGAAGAGCCAGATGTGGCAGTGCACAGCTGCGATCCCAGCACTTCGACGAGAGAGCACAGGTAGAGCAGGCGGGAACTCCGACGAGAGAGCACAGGTAGAGCAGGCGGGAAGACAGGCTACAGCACACAGGGCAGAGGCAGAGACGAGACAGACAAGCAGAAAGGACCAACGCATGAAAATCGTCCACGGACATTTCCATGTGCTCAGGCCACCCCACCTTTCAAATAAATAAATTAATGAGATGTTTTGGTTTTTAGAGACAGAGCCCTGGTTAGCCTGAAACTCACTATGCAGACCAGGTTAGCCTTAAACTTAAAAGAGATATGCCTGCCTGTTTCCCAAGTGCCAGAATTAAAGGCACGAACCACCATGTCTGGCCTTATTAAAATTTTCAAGAAAGAATAACAGGGATGGACAGATGGCTAGACAGTTAGGAGCACTTACTGATCCCACAGAGGACCCAGATTTGACTGCCAGCACCCACATGGCAGCTCACAACTGTCTATAACTCTAGTTCTAGAGGATCTGACACTTTCTTCTGATTTCCTTGGGCACCAGGCATGCAAGTACATACACATACATGCAGGTAAAAACATTCACATACAAAAAACTAAAACAAAAGTCATACAAAATTATAGAGTTATTATACTGTGCCACTATAACACAATGACACTAGAATTTCCCACTCTAGCTAAGAGAACTTAAGCAAATTTGGAGATAAGACACTAACTTAGGCAAAGTACTATTCCTCTCCTTCCTCCTCCCCCGAAGCACTGGGATGTGTGCATGTGCTGTGCTGGACCAAAAAGATGTCTTCTAGGCACCAAGAAGGGAAGTATAGCTAAGAATGAACCCAAGACAGAGTGACTGGCGTCCAAAGAGGCTGGCTCACTGGCAGGCAAACACTTGTCAAACTGCCTAACACTTGCCCTTGAATTTGTGGTGACATGAGTCAATATGGTACGTATTTTATTGTTTTCAGTTTAACTAGTTGATTAATCTACCTATCATCTCTCTATCTCTCTATCTATCTTGAAGATAAGGTCTCACTATGTTGTCCTGGCTGTCCTGAACTCACTATATAGATAGACCAGACTAGTCTCAATCTCACAAGGGTCCTCCTGGACTAGTGCTTCTAGACTATCCTATTTAAAAGGAGAACATAGCAAGTATGATGGCTCGCCCTAACAGAATCAAAGATATTCCATACAGCTTTGATCACATGGGATTTGGAATCAGCTCCGAGTCAGGTCCCATTGCTACCTTATTTGAATCACTCAACTTCACCCAGAGACAAGATATATCATTGGTACTACTTCTGTAGATGTCTGTGTCTCTCAAATGGTAAGGCCTATATGTAACTGTACATTAGACCTGAGCGATTCACTTTTGCAAATTATACCCAACAAATGCAATCTAGTCTAGTGGATGGCACAAAGGGGGTGCTTAGTGTGTGGTGAAACAGCACCTGCTGGGTCTCAGAGGGACCTGTGGCTCAGGTGAGAGAGTGCAGCTGAAGCCCTGGCGTAATGAGGTGTCCCAGAGGGCACAGTGAGAAGATCCGAGGGCTGGGCGAGAACCTTAGAGGACAATGGCACTGCACGAGAGGCAGGGACAGGACGCCTAGAGACAGTAGACCATGAAGGAACAGTCTGCAAGAGAGGACCAACTGATGGGTGCCCACGCAGTAAGGGCAGTGTTTCAGAGGACTGAGAGGCTGTGCCAACTCTTGTGGGTCAGTTCGCTATCTGAGCTTGTCTTATAGCCACCTACCACAGTCTGCCTTAGTTCTTAGCTGTCAGAAACAGAGGACTCTTCCCCACTTCCATCCCCACAAGGGTGAGTTAGGGGGCTATTAATAGGAGACAGTCATGTATGTGTTCAACCTCAACATGCCAATAACCACAATGGTTTCTGAGCAGTTTAGGAATAGCCAGAGACAAAGAATTCACTCAGACTATTCTCCCAGAGGCAACTTCTGTGAGTATTATCTGTCCATACCTTTATAGATCATTTTAGTCTAATTGGCTCTCATTCTTACATCTCCAGCTTAGTTAGCACGTGGAAAACAAACAGGTCACCCATCTGTAGTTAGGAGGATTGTTTAAACACTTTCTTCATAGCAAACAATCCACTGAAAAGTTTCACATATTTTTTTAAAACCACATATAGTAGGTAATGTTTAATCTAAATTATAGAAATGAGTAGGCATAAAAAGTAACAGTATTCTGCTGGGCGTGGTGGCACACGCCTGTAATCTAGTGTTGGCAGGCAAAGGCAGAAGGGCCAAAGGGCTCCAGTCCTCTCTGGGCTAGAGTAAGACCCTGCCTGTAAAAATAACAGCAAAGCCTGGTATTTCATCCTAAAAGCAATAGCCTGGCACTTCAGATAAACCTGCATAAACGAGGTAGAAAGGATAGCAGGGACTTTGTCACTAGCCACTTGGATGTCTTAGAACACACAGTGTGCCAAGCAGAAAGAACAAAGGAACTCGGCTCTCACTAAAGAAAACAGTGGGAGCAAAAGCTGAGTTCTACCTTGGTGGAAATGCCTGGATCAGAAAGGTTTGGGACATTTGCATATACATAATAAGATAGATATCCTAAGGATGGAGACCTGGTATAATGAGAATTTATTTATGTTTCACAGTTTCACTTACCTTCTATATGTAGGCTCAGGATAATGTTGCATAGTACACCTATATTACATAGTATATAATCACACACACCCACACACACACACACACACACACACACGCGCGCGCGCGCGCGCGCATGCACACACACAACCTGTTGTTATTTTTGAGACCGTCTCACTGTATAGCCCACACTGGCCACAAGCTCATGACCCTCCTGCTTCTGTCTGCTGAATGCTAGTGCTGTGTACTAGCCAACCCGGCTCTACAACATTTTAACAGTTTTGTGAATGAAACAGCTTCATGGCGAAAATTTTCCATCTTTGGTTTCATGTCTTGCTCAAAGTTTCTAATTTTTGAGCATTTTAGATGTTTTTTTTAATTAGTTGGACTTTGTTATTGAATATGCTCATTACTGATTCTCGCATGTATGTATACAATTAAGATAACACATATGTTTAAAGATTTTTTATGTGTGTGTGCACATGTGAATGTGAGCATGTGTTCATGCCAGCCACATGTGTGCAGGTGCTCTCAGAGGCCAGGAGAGGACACTGGAGTTACAGGTGGGTATGAGCTGCCCAGTGTGTGTGATGAGAACTGAATCTGGAGCCTCAAGAAGAGCGCCAGCTGTTCCTAACGGCTGAGTCATTTCTCTGGCCTCTGCAGTCTGGATTTTTGCATGAGGACTGCTCAGCTTGTCTGAGCAGAGGTGACAGTACAGGAGAGAAAACAACCTAATATGGTCAGATTGGACTAAAGACTGCATTAGTGCTGGGATAGGATTTAGTGGCCGAGTGCTTTCTTAGCCACTAAAAGCCACATTAGTTTGACCCTTGTTACTTACTTTGGGGAAAGGGAGCAGGGTGGGGGGAGAGGAAAAGATGGGAAGAGGGAGAGAGGTTTTAATTTCTGGTGCGATACTGCAGCACAGGTGTGGAAAGCTCTGGAAGGAAACACAGGTGCCCTTGGCTGTGTGGCTCTAGGCAGGAAGGAAACGGACACAGCACAGTCAGTGGTTCAGGGACTACTGAGAGGGTTAAGGAGGAGAAGGCACCTGTCTGTGTGTGTGCACGCGCACATGCCACGGTGTGCATGTGGAAGTCAGAGGATAACTCCCAGGAATTAGTTCTTTCCTGCCATTTGAGTTCTGAGTAGAACTCAGGTTGTCAGTTCCATTGTGAGGTGTATCCACATGACAGTTCTTAAATGAATCATGTCTTGTTTAACTGTGACATGATTTTCAATAACCAACTAGAAGATTTAGTAATTCTCTTCAAAACAAAACCAGTGGCTGGAATGTTCTTGTGGTCTCCTGTGTTCTGAGTATGAAAACACATCTAATCCCTTCACCACAGAATTTTCTATGTACACAGTTACTCAGGTTTTACACAGCATCAGGAAAAAGGCCAGAGCTTTAGTGGCTTTGCTGGCTAGCTTTAAAAACAACCGTCCTCTCAAATAAGACACTAATCACCCAGCCGTTGTTGTTATACTTCAAATATGAGCACAAATGCAAACAAAGTAAGTAAAACTCTATTTACCGACAACTGAGATGCAAAGCAGCTTATATGTGGCCAAGAAACACCTCCAACACTGCAAACAGAAGCTTGCCAGAATTTTCCCAACACTGTAGCTCTTTAACATTTACAATGCAGGGATCCCTGTGAGATTCTGATAAAACAGATTCTCCCTTGAGAAAACCACAAATCTATCTTTCACATACAGTTTTAGGGAGTCTGTAAGCTATGTAAGCTGGCCCTGAAGGAAGTAGTGGGAGCCTCTTCCCCACAGCTCTGACTTAAGGTGCTGAGAGGAGTGCTGACAAAGTGCTCAGGGCTTTGTGTGTGTGTGTGTGTGTGTGTGTGTGTGTGTGTGTATGTGGGGGGGGGCAGGGGCGGTCTCACAAGAAAGTCTCATGTGAGACAGACCGGCCTCGAACTCACTATGTAGCTCAGGCTGGTCTCCAACTTGCAGCGATCTTTCTGCCCCGCCTCCCAGGTACTGAGGTTACAGGTGAACTGCTATGCCCAGCTCAGCACATCCTCTTACCATGGCTCTGGCCTCCTCACGAATGGATGGGATGGAAAGGATGCTGTACAGGGCTCCATTCACATATGGCTGTATCTTTAAGAGAGAAGAAAAAAGACCAGTCATCTATTTGCAAGTTCTCAAATACCAACAACTCAATTGCCAGATGCCAGACACAGGACCGACTAGTCAGGCTTAGGGGAGAGCTGGTGCCCCTGTCTCCAGAACCCTGAATGAACATTTCACATGAGACACCCCATGTGTTTGTGAGAGCTGCAACTGAGTTCAAATTCAAATCCACCACTCCCTCTCCACCTTCTTCCTGCTTAACTAATGTCATTTCTAGCATTCTGGTCACCCAGATTAGAAACCTGGGAGTCATCATGGATTCTACTATTTATTCCCAATATCTCCGCGCTGAGCCATTGTTGCTAAGAGCCCTTGCTTCCCCACATCTGCTGCTATGGTCCATGCTCAGATGTCCTGTCACAGCTGGGGATACCCTGTCTCTAACTAAACCCCACTTCTGAAGCTTTCCCTGTGAGTCAGTTACCATGCAGCTGAGCCTTCCTGCCTTTTCAATGTGGTAAGAGCCTCTTTCTCCACACCCCCAAAATACTAATGTGCAGACAGATATGAGCATCGTTCTCTCGACGACTCTGGGTCTCATCAAGCCCAGAGCTATGTAACACAGGACACACAGGGCTCCCTCTATCGGTTGCAGCCCCCACTCTTCCAGCTTCTAAAATATACATATGTATTTGTGTACCTTTTCTTTTTTGAGACAGACTTGCTTTGACTTGTTACAGAGCTGATGATGACCCTGAATGTTTGACTCTCCTGCCTCTACCTCCAAAGTCCTAGGGTTAGGAGCATGAGACACCATGTCTGGTTTATGTGCACTGGGGAGTAAAGACAGGACTTTCGTATGCTAGACAAGGATTCTGTTGTTCTTAAGCAAATGCACTGGCAATAGCCGATGACAAGAACTAATCCTCTGGTCTAATCCATTTGTATTCCAGTAAGTCACAGGAAGAATGCGATTCCTGCAGCACTCAGTCGCCTGAGTTAAACACAATGAAGAAGAGTCTCGGGTAGCAATTAGGACAGGACAGAAGTAGTGAAAAATCTCCCTGACTTTGAAATATAAAAGGCCCGGCATGAACTAGAACAGTCACCTAATATCTACCCACTGAAGACGCCTGTGTCCGTGAGGTAATGCAGCTGTGGAGAATGAGATGAACTAGACCAGAGCTGCCTGCTTGGAATGGAAACAGATGCGTGGCAACCTAGTGTTCCTCCTAACCCAAGGGTCCTGATGAAAGATGCCCTCTGTCAAAATATGTCTAGTTTTGGATGAGCTTCAGCTGTAGCTGAAAAGTTTTGTCATCATCCCAGTATTCTGGAGGCTGTGACAAGAGAATCACCAGTCTGAGGCTGGCAGGGGCTACATAGAGTCATAGAATTATGACCAGGCTGGGCTACTTTGAGATGCCATTATTTCTGGAAAAACATTTGTAAAAACCAAGTGAGAGATGAATCATCCGGAATTTTTTGTTTGTTTGTTTTTTGAGACAGGGTTTTTCTATAGCTTTGGAACCTGTCCTGGAACTCACTCACTAGTTACTGTAGACCAGGCTGGCCTCGAACTCCCAGAGATTTGCCTGCCTTTGTCTCCTGAGTGTTGTGATTAAAGGCGTGTGCCACCACCATCCGGCTTTGTTATCATATTTAAAAATGGCTAGAAAACTTAGAAAATAACACCAGCTGTGTGGTAATGGGGTCATTCTGGAGGGCAATCTGAGCCCGGCATATGCTGTGAACTGGCAGCCATGAAGGCCACATACCCCATGGAAGCTCAGTGTGGGGTCCCTTGGGACAGGAGTGGAGCTGTCACAGAGGACAACAGTAGCAGCAGGGCTGGAAGCCATCACAGGCCTGCCCATGAGGAATACGATATGCACCAGGACATGGTGAAAGCCAAGGGGGACTGCAGTAGTGAGGCTTAGAACAGGAGACCCAGGAAGCACACAGAAAGTGCCCCAGGGAACAGCCATCACCTGATGAGCTCTAGGCTGAAATATTTCTATGTAAATTAAGTTCACACAAACATAGCACCAGAGGTACTTTAAGGCACAAGTGTCCACAGACAACAGTAGAGGGGATATGGGGGGGGGGTTAATGTCAGGGGAAGAAACCAGAAAGTGAGGTGGGACAAGGACCTGGCTACATCAGTGAAATATTTCAAATTATACAAGATGTAAAGTTGTTTACAAAAATGGCCAGAGGATGGGTTGGAGAGTCTTATCAGTGCATAAGACGCTTGCTATACAGGTAGAATGACGTGAGTTCAGATCCCTAGTACCCATGTAAAAGCTGGGCAGGTATGGTGGTACCAATAATCCCAGCACTTGGGAGGCAGAGACTGGGGATCTACAGGGCAAGCTGGGTAGCCAGACTAGCAGAATGAGAGATCTCAGGGTTCCATGCTCTCATGAATCTTGCTTTAGTAAATAAAGTGGAGGGCAATCAAGCAAGATACTCAACATCAAATTCAGGCCTTCATGGACACCCACACACACCTGCAATGTCACATACTTAAACACACACACATACGTAAACATACACACTCATGTATGTGCACACATACACACGCACACACAGAGGACCCTCAAATACAGGAAGGAATATACATTAAATACAGCACCTGCCCAAAGCCAGTCCCTTGCCTGAAAGGTCACAAGCACCCAGGTCACCATTACAGTCCCCCAATCCACCCCAAGGCAAGCAGCACTGCCTGAGTACCTCATGGTTTTCATGGCCAAGGAGATCCGAAAGGACTTTCAGCACGAGCCCTGCCACTTTAGCACACATGCTCTTTCCTGTGGGGAGCAGGGCAGAGGAAAACACATGTCAGACAGGAGAGAGCTGTGTGACAAGCTAGTTACTCAGTCACTCTGAGCCTCAGTTTTCTCCCTTAAAAGCAGATTATGATGCTGGTGGGTTTGGTGACACATGCTTCTAATCCAGGGAGGCAGAGGGAGGAGGGTCTCTGTGAGCTCAAGGCCAGTCTGAGTTCCAGGACAGCCAGGACTACATAGAGAAACCCGATCTCAAACAAACAAACAAACAAACAAATAAAAATAGATTATTAGCACCTGCTCCAAAGGGAGGTACAGAATTAAGTAAGCCCACAAAAACCCTGAGAACTTGGAAGCTGCTGGTGGCCATGACAACAGTTCAAGGAGAATGTGCTATGTGGGCATACAGTATCACCAAACACATCGCCAAACTGTAAGCAAGCTGATTCCAGGAAAAGGTGGCTGGGATCTGAGAAGCGTGTGTGAACTGGGGCCTCCACACAGGCTATGCCCAGAGCAGAAGTCTGCACAGTCACTTAATCCGTCAACAGCACACGAGTGTCTTGGGCAGAGTAGGCAAGCTGCTGAGTCAGCAGACTTCTCACCTACCTTCTCGCAGAGCCTGGAGGATGGAGGCAGCCCAGCGAGTGAGAGTCTGAAATGGCTGATGTGTGTACAGAAACTAAAACTCCCATCTCCGTTGACGGAGGTAAACATTTTTTTGGTTTGTTTTGGGGGTTCTGCTTTTGCTTTTGAGACAGGGTCAGCCTAAGCCAGCCTCCAATTTGCAGTATAACCAAGGATGACCTTGAAATTCGATCCTCCTGTCTCCACCTTCTGAGTGCTGGAATTACAGGCATGCACCCCCATGCCTATTTTATGTGGTACTGGGAATTGACCTAAGGCTTAGAGCATGCCAGTCAACTGAGCTCCAGTCCCATAGGTGAGAAGCAGCTTTTGGTGCCCTTATGAACCTCCAGCTCCAGGAGATGGAAAATACTGAGCAGGCAGCATGATTTAATGTCACCACGCCTGCCACTAACTTAATCCCAGAGGATGCTGGGAGCACACCTCTCTGTCTTCAGTAGCAGGGATCATAACTCTTAACATCCTACCTTTGAAAAGTTCAACAAAAAAAAAGGTGGTGGCGCACACCTTTAATCCCAGTACTCGGGAGGCAGAGGCAGGCGAATCTCTGGGAGTTCAAGGTCAGCCTGGTCTACAGAGCAAGTTCCAGGACAGGCTGCAAAGCTACAGAAAAAGCCTATTGAAAGAGAAAGAAAGAAAGGAAGGAAGGAAGGAAGGAAGGAAGGAAGGAAGGAAGGAAGGAAGGAAGGAAGGGGAAAGAGAGAGAAAGAAGGAAAGTGCAACAAAGATGAAAGAAATGTCACTGGATTTACTCTCTTCTTCAGAAGGGCACTTCACAAACACAAAACTGCTGTAGATTCTTTCCAAGGGTAACATGGTACTTTGGCTTGAAGCGCTTGCTAGCTTCATACCTAGCTAGAAATGCTTTACTGTCCTAAGTTTTCCATAGAGAAACAAAAAGCAAGCCCTGCTGAGCTCCCTGGGAACTCAGATTTGTAGGCAGGTCTCTGCCTAGCCATCCTCCATACCAGGACATGAGTATCTGGGTGTGTGCATGTGGGGAGGACTGGGGGGGGGGTGGTGACACCTGCACTGCGGAGGCAGAGGTTCATGAGCAAAGCCACAGAGTATTCCAGTGTGTAGTCAGACAGGCAGTCGGGGTCCTTCAGAAGGTCGATCAGCCAGAAGATGAGGCCGTCTCTGATCATTGCCGTCTGCAGCGGGCGCCTAAGAGGAAACAACCTTCCTTATTAGATGAATTAACTGGTAAGGGACTTTCCATGGAAGAACGTTCCATGGTGCAGATAGGGATGAAAGGGAGTTATGAAAAACAGACTCTGGGGAGCACCCTTAAGCCCATTCAACTGGGACAATAAAAATGCTTGACCTTTTAAGGACACGATATTTTAAAGAATGATTGAGCAGTAAGAAGCACCTCCCACTTTGAAAGTCTCCTTTGCAATATCTAAAGCTAGCAACGTCTACTTCAAATGCATGTATGTCATTAATAGCTTTGGCTTTCTTGACCCAGACAATCGGCCACAGAAATACTACTTTGAAAAAAAAAAAACCAACTTGGAGGGGCTCATCTTACATGATTCCATGTGTTAGACATGCATAAGGCAGAGCTGCAGGAGGGATAAGGAAGGCTGGCTAGGGCTGCGGATGGAACAGAGATAACAATAATTCATGAGACACTTTTTCTGGAGAGACAGAAATGCTCTAAATTAGGACAGGTAAAATGGCTTCGTGGGTGAGTTTGATCCCTGGACCCACATGGTGGAAGGAGAGAACTGATCCCTACAAATCATCCTTTGACCTCCACAGTACACACATATAAATAAATAAATGGGAAATAGGTTCTACAATCAGGTTGTGATGGGTGCAGGACTCTGCAAATCCGTGAAAACCAGACTTGTTCATTTATGATGGTGACTTTGGGGGCTAGAAAGATGGCTCAGCAGTTAAAAGCATTGCTGCTTTTTGCAGAGGATCTAAGTTCATTTCTAAGCACCCATTGCTCATAACTGTATGTGTAACCCCTGTTCCAGGGGATCAGAACTCTCTTCTGACTGCTAAAACATGTGTTTCACCAGGCACACACGTGTTGCACATACATACACACAGGCAAAACGCTCATATGTATAAAATAAAACAATTTTTTTTAAAATGAAAACAAGGTTCCACTATGTAGCCTTGGCTGGCTGGGACTCACTATGTAGACCAGGCGGGGCTCGAACTCATTAGAGCTCTGCCTGCCTCTGCCTCCCAATTGCTGAGATTAAAGACATGCACTATCATGCCCAGCTAAGTTGTTGTTTGTAAAAAGGTTCTAAGAAGACACTAGATCTGGTTGAAAAAGAGCACAAAGGGCTGGGCAGACGGCTCAGTGGTTAAGTTCTCTGCTGCTGTTTCAGAGAACTCTGGTTCTTTTACAGTCATCTGTAACTGCAGTTCCAGGGATACAATACCCTCTCTGCCCTCTGGGGGCGCCAGACATGCACACGGTGCACATACATACAGGCAAAATACTCACATACATAACATAAATTTAAAAAGAAATACTTAAAAAACAGAACAGAACATGACTTTAAAGTTATAATGTAGCACTTCCAGGACACGCTAAGTCCAGGCCCAGACTCAGGGTGGGCTTCTGGGATGTGCCAGGGAGTGAGGCTCCCAGAGGACTAATGGGAAACAACCTGACTGTGTGTGTTTACCCTCACACCAAACACCAGGCTGGCACTAATGACCTGACACTAGCTAGGGGAAGGTAACTGTGTACTCACTGTAATGTCTTTGTCTAGCTCCAGCAGGCCTTAGATTAGAGGGGTTTCTAGCTCTATCATGGAAAGTCATTTAACCTTTCTTACATGTTAACAGAAAGATAACATTTGCATTCTAGGACGTCATGAGAATTAAGTAAAAAGTAAGTGGTGCATCAGACAGAGGTCTGATCTCCAAAATATACAAAGAACTCAAGACATTGGACACCAAAAGATCACAGAATCCAATAAAAAAAAAAAATGGAGTACAGACCTAAACAGAGAACTCTCAACAGAGGAATCTAAAATGGTTGAAAGACACTTAAGGAAACGCCCAACATCCTTAGTCATCAGAGAAATGCAAATCAAAACAACTCTGAGATTCCATCTTACACCTGTAAGAATGGCCAAGGTCAAAAACACTGATGACAACTTATGTTGGAGAGGTTGTAGGGAAAAGAGAACACTCCTGCATTGCTGGTGGGAATGCAAGCTGGTACAACCCCTTTGAATGTCAGTGTGGTGATTTCTCAGAAAATTAGGAAACAACCTTCCTCAAGACCCAGTAATACCACTTTGGGGTATATACCGAAAAGATGCTCAATCGTGCCACAGGGACATGTGCTCAACTATGTTCACAGCAGCTTTGTTTATCATAGCCAGTACCTGAAAACAACCTAAATGTCCCTCGATCAAAGAATGGATAAGGAAGATGTGGTACATTTACATAATGGAGTACTACACAGCAGAAAAAAATGACAGCTTGAATTCTGCAGGAAAATTGATGGAGCTAGAAAACATTCTTTTGAGTGAGGTAACCCAGACACAGAAAGACAATTATCACATGTACTCACTCATAGGTGGTTTTTAAACATAAAGCAAAGAAAGCCAGCCTACAACCCACAATCCCAGAGAACTTAGACAACAATGCGGACACTAAGAGAGACTTACATAGATCTAATCTACATGGGAAGGAGAAAGTAGAAAAAGACAAGCTCTCCTGAGTAAATTGGGAGCATGGGGAGCTTGGGGGAGGACTGAAGAGGGGAGGGAGAGGCAGGGATGGGAGCAGAGAAAAATGTAGAGCTCAATAAATATCAATAAAAAAATTTTAAAAAAGAAAAGAAAAAAAGAAGTAAGTGGTGGTTCAAACACACACACACACACACACACACACACACACACACACACACACACACACACGGTGCATGCCACTCCGAGCTCATGGGCAGAGACTGATAAATGGCATGGTCCTCACCTGAGGCTGAACTTCTGCAAGGCCCCAAGAACATTCTCACGAGTGATGATGTCCTTGTCTTCTTCCTTTAGCCTTCCCTCCAGCATGCGCAGCACTTTTGTGTTCTGGGCTAGGTAGAGTCGACCTAAAGATTAAAGATGGGCCAGAGATGAAAATGGGGAAGACATAAAGAATTAATCTGGTGTGCACCAAGGCCACTTTCTGGGGAAGATTTGCACAGGATACACTAGAAAGTTCTAGAAGAAATTATTCAAGTGTGTCTTTTTCTGAGCCAGGTGTGGTGGTACAAGCCTATAATCTCAGTACTAGGGGAGCCACAGCAGGAGGACTGCAAGTTTGTGGCCATCTAGTACCTGCATAGGGGGATCCTGTCTCAGAATAGAAGCTTACTCAAGCAATGATCTAAGCAACAGAAAGCCTTTCTTCCTGGAAGCTAACATCAGCCACCATCACCGTCTGTGACATCCTGAACCTGAGGGACCTACAGGGAAAAAGAGGAATGAAGCTATACTGTGCGTCCTCTGACCTTCACAAGAACTGCTTCCATCACACTCTCTTGTTCCCTCTGGACACCCTCAGGGCCGGATGGAGGTGGGGCCCTGTCTAGGACACCACTGATCTTTCATGGACTTCTGCATTGACAGATCCCAGGACTGTCAGATGAAGAGTTCTCAGGCTTACACTGGCTTACACTAAGTGTTTGCCAAACAAATGGGATAATGAGTTAAATAAACATGCTGAATATCATGTATTCATAGCCTGAAAACTTTATTTATTCACATTAAAAAACACCTCAAATGAGGCTGGGTGTATAGCATACAATTCCAGCATTTGGGAGGCAGAGGCTGGTGGATTACTATGAGGTCAAGGTCAGCCTGGTCTACAAAGAGAGACGCAGTTTCAACAATAATTAAAAAACAACAAAAAATTTCAAACAAATAAGAATGTGAGGCAATTATCCTGGGTGTGTACAGTGTGTGTGAAATGCACATCTGTGAATGTGGGAATGTGGGTGCCAGGCACACACATGTAGGTCACAGACATTTTCAGAAGTCAGTTCTTTCCTTCCACTTTAGTCTGAAGCAGGGTCTCTCTTGCCATTCCACCACTATGCTGTGTTCTCCAGGCTGGCTGTCCCACAAACAATTCTGTCTCCACCTCCCATCTCACCCTAGGAATGCTGGGATTCACATCTGACCTGCTAGTGGGTTCTGGAGATCAAACTCAGGTCATCAGGCTTACATAAAAGCTTTTATTAGCTGAGCTGGTTCGCCTGCCCAGACAATGGCCCTGTGTAAAACTGACTTTTAATTCAGCTACAGCATCTTAATACTTCTGAAATTTTTAAATCCTTTAGAGACTGTAAGAAACAGTGTAGTGCTTGCTAGAATATGCTTTACTTGTTTCACCAAACTTATTATGGCAAGTAGGAATTATAGAAAATTACCTACTATGCAGTTGAAAACAATTTAACTAAGAGTTATAAAAAAAATCTTAGGTATTGTAAAATGAACTCCAAAGGCATGAAAACTTGCTCTGACAGAAACTTAGGCAATTATCTTAAGAACTAATTTCCCAAGAGACGTTAGAAGAACAGAAATAAAATGAGGAGACCTGGGCTACTTTAAGCAACACTGGGAAACACTAATTTCACAGCCATGCCACGTGGCTTTGCCAGGGATGTTCTGCTCGGAGGGAAAATGTCACCTCACCTTCGGCCAGGGAGGCCAGGGCGTTGATGAGCCTGGCCATGTACTGCCGCACAGCTTCGCTCTTGGAGTGCAGCAGCTGCAGCACGTTCCTCTGCAGGGACAACACAGAGAGCCAGCAGTGAGGGGAGGCAGAGAAGGGGCCATGGTCCCCAGGCCTGCCTGACTAGAGGGAAATAGGCTACCGCCACACATTTCCCCTGCAACTCCTGATTTCCAAACGGTACTTGATGAGACTTGGCAAAATGAAGTTGCCTAAATTTCTAAGTTTAATGAAGTATGCCAAGGACCTAGAACAACAGGGCACATGTAGTCGCTACTGCTGCTAGCTTTCCAGATGAGAGACAAACCCATCTAATTCAGCCCCTCCAAACATGGCAGGACTACAGCAAATGGCTTTAAAAAAAAAAAAAGACACAAATTCTGAACAAATAACTAAATACCATGAGAAATGTTGTTCTAGAACAATGATGCAGACCCTGAGGTTATTCACAAGACAGTACTAGGCAAGGGCAAATCCCGAGTTCCTCCACTCCAAAAGGCTGAAGAGCTAGGGACAAAGCTTGAGACAATACAAACAAACAGAAGACAGAAATAGTGGCTAGATTGTACTATGCTGGTCCTGTGATCTTCCAGCACAGCAACAGGTAGGAAGTGTTATCATGGGAGGCTAACACAGTGTCTCAGCATTGGGGCACACCAGATTCACATGTGCAGGGAGTTACCAAAATGCAGACAGGAAGCCATCATGATGGTGTATGCTTGTCACCCAGTACTTGGGAAACAGAGGCAGGACAATCTCCAATTTGAGGTCAGTCCAGACTATAGCAAGAAATTCTCAAAAACCAGTGGCTATCGGGCTGAAGATGACAGCTCAGCAGTTAAGAGTACTTGCTGCTCCTGCAGAGGACCTGGGTTGGGTTCCTAGCACCCACATGCCAGCTATCAACCATGAACAGATTCAGTTCCAGGGGACCTGATGCCCTCTTCTGACCTCCTCAGACCCTGCATACACATGGTGTACATACAGGCAGACAAATATTCACACACACACACACACAAATAAAAACAAAAAGATCTTAAAACAAACAAACAAAAACAGTGGTTGGAATGTAACTTAGTGGTAGAGCACTCATAACACTTCAGAAAGGAGAGGGAGGGAAGGAGGCTGGAGAACATCAATTCAGGAAAGAAGAACAAGGAGGCATCAGAAGAAGTTGGGAAAGCAAGACTCCTGTACGGTAGCTCTGTACTCGATGTAGAAGGTTCCGAGTGGACTACACCTAGGGAAAGGGCCATCTGCCATCTCAGAGATGTCAACTGTCCTTGTATCATCTTTATTTAGGCAAATTTTCAATGTAGGATACACAGAGAACTTACAGGTCACCAGGGAACAGCCTGAAGAGTGTTCACAAGCGAACGTGTGTTAACAGGTAACCAAGTCCAGAAGCCACATTCCACAGTTCAGGAACCCTTCAGGACACCCTTCCAAACAATTCTCTCCTGGCTTCTAATATACATTATCGCTTGCTTTTTGCTTTTGTGTGTGTGCACCTGTGTGCAAGAGCATGCACGTGGAGCCCAGAGGTGTCTTCTTCAGCCGCTCTCCAGCTTAGTTTTTGAGACAGGGTCTCTCACAGAGCCTGAAACTCTCTGATTTGGCTAGACTGCTGGCCAACAACCCCCTGGGATCCTGTTTCTGCATCCCCAGCAAGACTGCCTACCCGCCTTTTCTTAACATGGGTGCTGGGAATCCATGCTCGCACTTCACCAAATGAGCCATCTCCCAGCCCCAAAACTGCCTGTTTTTAAGAAAAACTGTGACTGGTAAAAGTAAAATATTTATTATAGAAAACACTGATGCCTGGTTTAAGATCTTAGTCCGAATCTCAGCTTCATCAAATCTGCAATCAGGTGAAGACAGTCTCAATGAGGGGCTGCCTAGATCAGGATGGCCTGTGAGGGATTATCTTAACTGATAGGAAAAGCCCCATTTTAACTGCGGCAGGCCCAGTGCCTGACCAGGAGATCCCGAGCTGTGTGAGAGTGGATAAGCCAAGCTGACCACAAGCACTTACGCGTCCATCTCTCTGCTTGACTGTGGATGTGACTACCTGGGTCGCGGCCCTGCTGTCTAGATTTGCTAGCAAAGATGGACTTAAGAGTGAAAATAAACTCTTTCTCCCCCAAGCTGCTTTTGCCACAGTATTCATCTCAGTAACAGAAATTAAACTAGACTTGGACATTATACTCAGTCCTGAGCCTCGACTTTCTGACTTGTAGAAGAGATATAACCCAGCGTCTCAAAGTGTAAGAACCAACCAAGATCTCTTAAGGAAAAGTTCATAACAGAATGCTCTGTGCATAGAAGCTGCTCCTGGATGTAAGATTTCTTCCTTTCTTCCCCTGGTGGGAGTTACACTGGCTTCTCTGGAGTTAAACTACTTTTAATGTTTAGCTTTAAAGTAGCTAGACAGTCTGGGCTCCACTACTTATTTCCTGTGTGCAGCAGGTTTAATTTTACAGGGGATTACAGCTAAGAGATTGTGTGAATCGCAGAAGAAACTCTGAACTTTAGACTTTTAAATAAGTTTGAAAAGTATCATAGACTGGGGACTTTTGAAGTTGGATTGAATTCATTTTTGCATTATATGGCTACAAGCCTTTGGGGCCAGGGAGTGGAATGTGGTGGTTTGAAAGAAAATGGTCCCCAAATGGAGTGGTACAATTATGAGGTGTGGCCTTGCTGGAGTGGGTGTGGCCTTGTTGGAGGAAGTGTGCCACTGTGGGAGAAGGCTTTGAGGTCTCTTTTGCTCAAGCAATGCTCAGTGTGGTACTCAGTTCACTTCCTGTTGCCTGTGGATCAAGACGCAGAACCCTCAGCTCCTTCTCCAGCACCGTGTCTGTCTACATGTTTCCATGCCCCACCATGATGATAATGGACTAAACCTCTGAAACTGTAAGTCATCCCCATTTAATGTTTTCCTTTGTAAGAGTTGTTGTGGTCATGGTGTCTCTTCACAGCACTAGAAACTCTAACACAGGACATTATAACTTTTAAAAGTTGGGATGTCATTTTTAAAATTTGACTCTTTCTCTCTTTTCTTTCCTTCTTCTCTTATCTTTTAGACAAGGTCTATGTAGCTCTAGCTATCCTGGACTCACCATGTGGACTTTTCCCTCCTTCGCTCTGAGGTTGGTTTTGTGGTTATTTCTTTATAAACGAAAGGGGTTGCAACCTAGAAGTTCCCAAAATGCTGGAAGTTTCTATTTCTTATGTTTTTGGTTGTGAGCCTGGCCTTTAACAGCTGGACCATCTCTCTGGCCTAAGTTTCTATTTCTTAATCTGGGTAATGGAAAAACGACTTTAAATTTTTCAAATATTTTCGATATTAACTTCTGTGAATGGTAAGTGGAACTATGGATTTAGGAAGACAATAGTCCTTGAATTAAGAAAGTAGGCTCTTGAGATGCACACATAATGCTGAAGAGCTAGAACTGTCAGAAGTTCCTTCAGGTTGACAATGCTATGTTACACACTGAACTCTGAGAAGCACTAAGGGAGAAATAGCTAGCCAACCAATTCAGTTTCCCTCCCAAACAGCCCAATCCATTTTGAAGTCATGGTGACCCAGCATCTGCATTAACAAGGAGTCTTCTGACCCTGCAAGTTGTCTTTAGAGAACTTTAAGTCATTCCTTCTTAGAAACAAAACGGGTGGGGATGAGCTCTGCTGGTAGAGAGCTGTATAGTATGCATGAAGCCCTCAGTTTGATCCCCAGCACCATGGAAACCAACCATGGGCACAAGTCTATAATCTCCAGGGTCCAGGAGATTGTAGAGGCAGGAAGTTCAGACGTTCAAGGTCAGCTTCAGCCCACACAGAAAATTTGAAGCCAGCCTGAACTATGTAAGATCCTAATACAAAGGGTTGGAGAAATGGCTTAGCAGTTAAGAGCAATGACTGGCTGCTCTTCCAGAGCATAGGATACAATTCTTAGCACCCATTGGGGGTTCACAACTGTGATTCCAGTTCTAGGAGATCTGACACTGCCTTCTGGCCTCCACAGGCTGTGCATACATGTGGTGTATATACATACATGCAGGTGCAAAATACCCATACACATAAGATTTTTTTAAAAGAATCTTAAAAATAAAAGACCCTAACAGAAACAACAACAACACCTAAACAAAACAAACAACAAAACAAGTAACTACAGTCTTCAATGGCTGCAGAGATTGTAGCACTTAGACAAAAAAACACTAATGCAACACATTGACTTTGAACTCTGAAAATGGAGCACAATTCACGTGGGAGAACGGAAGGGGTGAGGGAAGACGAACAGAAGAGAGCCGCAGAGCCCATCACGACACCTGGCTTGTTTGGGAATCTCCAGAACTGAAGAGGAGGTCAAGAGGTGAACATAGACCTCAAGCAACTGATAAGCTCATACTCAAAGGTCAGCACACTGACAATAAAGAGAAACCAAAGCCCCAAGTCTGCTAAGTGCTTCCCTACTGCAGAAGGCCCTGGCCCCCTCTTACCGACCTGGTTGTGGCTGTGACAATCCAAGAGGTCATTGCTGATATAGGCTTGCAGGACCGTCTCCCTCTGCTCTCCAGGATGGGACGTGGTCAAGCGCTGCAAAGAAAAACCAAATAACAAACTCCTACAGAAGCAAGAGCTAGCCCCTGAAAGGTGAGCAGATGGTCAACCAGCAGGGAGGAAGGAGAGTGTATAGAGGGGGGAGCGGTGGTCTAGCTCACAAGATGGGGCCCAGGCTACCTGTAGAAGGCTCTCAATGACCCTATCCTATAGGGCCTGATGAGCAATGGTTGGGAGAAAGCAGATGGGAGAAAGGTTGGCGAGCTGGTTGGAATTTGGGGAGCCAATAAATCTGTTATGCTGCCATATGCATTTGTGTGATATCCACAGGGGAAGGTGTGTGTGATATGCAGATGCACAAGGCAGTGTATAGTTAGGACGGGAGAAAGCTGCATCCCTGACAAATGGGCAAATGTGCTTGCTTTTCCAGGAAAAGCTTAAACAAACACCCTGAGGCTCAGAATTTGCCATCTGAGGACAAGCATGGTGTGCTTGGAATACCCTAGTTTGCAGCACAAAGGCCAGAGCCAACAGACACAACACACAGGAGGAAGGAGAGGTCTTCAGGGGGAGGAAGATGTTGCTGGCTGATCTGATCACCACTGAAGAGGGGACTGCTAAAGGATTGTGCCAAGAATGTCACATGAGGGAATTCCTGTGGAGCCAAGAGGCTGGATGGGGCCCTGGAGAAGAAAACAGGCAAAGCCACTAACACCTACATGCCTTCCTGATTATCTGGTTAAGATGCCTGCTTTCTCCCAGCAAGAGGCCCAGGGAGTGGGCCCATTGAGCCAGTGCTGAGTGGCAAACTCAGGCAACTGGGTGAGTGTGGTAACACAAACAGACACAAGTAAACCAGGGTTGGGGCAGCTCTTGATGATCACTCAGGCTGCCCACCCACCCTGGTCAGAAAGCCCCTACAAACAGAACAGGTACCGGGAGTTCTCCCCTTGGGCCCCAAGAATTCCTCATAGTTCCCAATCAGGCAGAGTCCAGGAAGCACCACCAGATGCTAAGTACCAGTGAGGACTGTTTCCACTCAAAGGTAGGGAAGCTGCTCAAAGAATTCTGGTACCAGTGGATCCTGAAATATGGGGGCCCACAAAGAAGCTTGACACTACGTTATCGTGAGTTAGAATACTCTGTTTGGTGAAAGGCTTTGATCAGTAATTCTCAAAGCTCTGGGCACCCCCCAAACTCTCGGAATTGGAGGGGACATGACTATTTTCACACTGACTACACTAAGATGCATTCTGCCATGCTTCTGACCACTTTCTCAGACTGTGTAGGTGTGACACTCGGAAGCCTAACATAAAAGCAGGGTCTGAGAACCCAGGGCTCCTCCTTGGGGGGCACACAATGAAGAGATGAACAACGCCACTCTGCACACATTTGGTTTGTTGTTTGAAAACCAGTTATTGCTATTTATGTTAATGTGTCATTTATTTATTTTACAGGGAATGATAAATTCTTAATTTTTCTGTTCTCATTTTCTAATAGTACAAATACTGTAAAGAGAAAATCCACATAAACAAAACTTTTTGGGGGCCTCAATAATTTCTGAGGGTGTAGGGGGAGTCTGCAACACTTGAAAACCAACCACTGGCTTCAACTGAGGAATGGGAATTCAGATGAGGCCTGTGTCTGTCCTGAGGTCTACCCAGTGTGGCTAGCCCACCAGTCTGTACCCAGCGGTCTCTGGAGTTGTGACTGGGCTCGAACAAACATGAAGGCTCCAAGCTGACTGTAGCACCTGACCAGGTTAGGGACTGAACAGCAGGGGCAGCCACAGTCCACACGCAGGCAATGGTAGCTGACACCAGTATAGAGTGCGTTAGAAAAAGGCCAGGGCTACTCAGGAGCTGTGGGTGGAGGTGGAGCCTCACTATACAGCCCTGGGCTGGGCTGGATCCTGGTGTGTAGACCAGGCTGGCCCTGAACTTACAGAACTGTACCTACCTCTGCCTTCTGCCAGCTGGGAATAAAGACATGGGCTCCCACACCTAGCTAGAGCAGCTTTTAACCCTAGGTCTTGGTGGCAGGCAGCAGGAAGGGATCTTTAACAGAGGGGTTATGAGATATCGGCCAAGTTACCAGGTAGCCAGGCAAGAAAAGCAGTGTGGAGTTTTCTCTGTTGTTTGTTTCTAACTTCAAGGGGACAGTACCTACCCAGCGCAGAGCCTGCAACAAGAAGGCTTTCAAGCGGTCACTGCCCCAAATCAAATCCTTCTTCAGTTTCTCATAATCCAGGGAGGGCAGTAATGGGACATCCTTCAACTTCCTACTCAGCATCGCAAGTTCAAAGAGAAGAAAAAGGGCAAAGGGACATGTCATTCCATCTCCCGAACATCAGATATTGATGTAGACTCAAGGAACCATCAGTGGCTCAAATGTCACCACAACTGTGGGCTCCCAAAATAGACAGAGCCTTCTTCCACTGGGAGCCTAGTGTCCAGGCCTCCACCCAGCTCAGCCAGCTCAGCCCTGCATGATGGATTTTATGTAGTCTAAATTTATTTCTTCTTAGATTTCAATGGCATGCAAATTTTCTATAATAAGACAAAATGCATACTAAGTTTTGTTTGTGTTTTAGTGTTCAAACAGGGTCTCACTGTGTGGCCCAGGCTGACCTCCCACCTCAGCCTCCCAAGTACAGTGATTACAGGCTGTGTCACTCAAGTCCAACTCCCCACACCCATGCTGACCTTCTGACTTTGCTAACTGCACAGGGCTTGTGTAAAATGTTAACACTGGGAAGTCTTAAGGGCACTAGCTACTCTTGCAGAGGACCCAGGTTCTATTCTCAGTACCAACAAGGCAGCTCACAACCATCTATAACTCCAATTTCTTCTGGCCTCTGAAAGCACTGTGTGCATGTGGTATACATATAGGTAAGCTGGAACACACACACACACACACACACACACACACACAAATGAACACATTTTCAAAAGAGAATTTTTAAAAAGAATTTTTGTAATGTCTATTTACATCTCAAAGTTTCTATAACAAACTGGGCACAGTGGCTAATACTTATAATTTCAGAACTTAGAAGTTGAGGCAGGAGGACAGAATTCATTTCTAGAGAATATCAGAGGAATAAGTCAACAGGTTTTTTTGCTATTTCATGCTACTTTATAAGAATCAATATTAAAAGATAAATCTAGTTTAGCATTATTTATAATCATTGGTATTTCCTTCCATATCCACATGTAGTTGAATGTTTAGTTAAATTATCTCAAATTCCAGCTTCACATATAGATAGGAATACGGTGCTGGAGAGATGGCTCTTTGGTTAAGAGCACTGGCTGATCTTCCAGAAGACCTGTATTTGGTTCCCAGCATCCACATGGTGGTCACAGCCATGTGTAACTCCAGTTCCAGGGTATCCAATGCCATCTTCGGGCCTCAGCAGGAACCAGGCAGGCAGGTGATGTACAAACATACACACAGGCAAAGCACCCATACACATAAAACAAAAGTAAGTCAAATTTTAGAACACAATTAATAAAGACTTCTAAGCATGATTACTTACTCAGGAACCAAGGAGGCTCGTAACATGGTTGAGGCCTGCAGGGAGGACAGAAGCAAACAGATCATGTTAAATACCGATGGCAGTGCATTAACTCTAGCCTCGTTTAACAGCACAGAAGCAGCTATTTGCAAAGTGTCTGCTGCAGCAGTGTCCTCCAAGGCCAGCCTGGTCTACAGAGGGAGTTCCAGCACAGCCAAGGCTATACTGAGAAACTCTGCCTTGGGGGAAAAAAAGAAAAAGAAAAAATTTACAGGAGCAGGGGCTGGAGTGATGGCTTAGTGGGTAAGAACACTGTCTGCTCTTCCAGAGGATTCAGTCGGCCATGGTCCCATCTAGCCTCCTGAGTGCTGGGATTAAGGGCGTGCGCCACCATTGGCCAGCCTATACTCAAATTCCTTAACATCTAGAGCTTCTTTTATACTTGGTTTGTGCTGTCATACACATACCTCATGTTGCATTTCTTTATCCTTCTATTTTCCTCATACTTAATCTGGCAATGCCCATAGTATACATCATCATGTTTTCTTCACTATGGGCATTGTCAATAAAGGAGGTGGTGAACTGGCCTGCAGACGGGATGAAGGGGCGAGGTAAAAGGGAATTATAAATTTTTCCTTTCTTTCTTTATGTGTATCGATGTTTTAGCTGCAGGTATTTGCACTCAGGAGGCAGAGGCAGGTACATCTCTGTGAGTTCAAGGCCAGCATGGTCTACAAAGTGAGTTCCAGGACAGGCTCCAAAGATACACAAAGAAACCTTGTCTTGAAAAAAACAAAGCAAAACAAACAAAAAAAACAAAAGAAAAAGAAATTTGAATATAGGCTGAACTGGTGCTGAGGGTTCTTGTTGATTCTATTTGTTTGTGGGTTATATTTCTTTTCTTTTTTCTTATTTTTTTAATGGTGTTTCGCCTGTATGTATGTGTAATTTGCATGTATGTATGTTGTTTTGCCTATGTGTGTGAGGGTGTTGGGTCCTGGAGTTACAGTTTTAAGCTGCCATCTAGGTGCTGGGAATTGAACCCGGATATTCTAGAAGAATAATCTACTCTCTTAACCAATGAGCATCTCTCCAGCCTCCTAGTGTTTATTTCTTAAACCTCTCTGTTAGATGTGGGTATTTTTATTTATTGGTGAGACAGTGTTTGGAACTGGCTTCAAAGGACTTGGAGAGAAGAGAATAGGCATAGCCAAATGGCAGAGTACCTAGTACCCTCCCTCTGCAAAGAAAAAGAGAGAGAAAAGGAGGGCGGATGAAACAGACCTGAGAAAAACTAAGCCAAGGAAAGAAAAGCAACTCAAGGTATGGGAACTTCAAAGAAGCTCTACTTCTTTCCGTCCTAAAGGTTTTGAGACAGGACCTCATGTAGCCCAGGCTGTCTTGCAAAGTCACTAGTTAACTGAGAATGACCTTGAACTTCCGGTCCTCCTGAATGCTGTGACTGCAGGTTTGAGCCACTACTCCTGGTTTGTGTGGTACTGAGGATTAAACCCAAGGCTTCACTCACATGAGGCATTCTACTGGCTGAGCCATATCCCAGCCCCAAAGTGTTGGCTATCACACGCAAACACCAAGAGGCTTTCTGAACTTCGGCTGAGCAACCCTGAGCAGGCAGTGGATTTCTAAGGTATCCGCTGCAGGCTCTCAAGCCAGTTAAGAACACAGCTATTGCTATCTGCATTTCTGTCACTGCTCCATGGCTGTAGGCACTGCAGTGTGTGCAGAACATGCAAAGCCCAACAGCTGGCAGGTGACAGCCCCAGCAGGGGAAAATCCCTCACAGTCAGAACTAATCCCTCTACTGAGGCAAGTGGATTTTTTGTTTGTTTGTTTTTATTTTTTATTTTTATTTTTTTGAGGCAGGATTCTCTATAGCCCTGGCTGTCCCATAACTTACTATGTAGATCAGGCTGGCCTTGAACGCTCAGAGATCCACCTTCCACTACCTCCCAAGTGCTGGGACTAAAGATGTACACCGCTACTGCCTGACCCAACAGCGAATTCTGAATGCTGAAGGAACAAACCCAGAAAGGATACCCTTGTTATGGAGGCCTGAGTTGGTCCTAGAGGGTGCTATTTGACTGCCAGGACAGCTGCAGGGTGAGGCACAGACGGCAGATAGTGTTCCCAGCCTTCCTGAACAGTTAGCGGTGGAGTCCACCTGAGGAAGCACTGAAGGAAGGCTGGGAAGCTTCTTCAGGACACAGACAGAGGACACAGCAGATGAACCAAGGTGTTAACTACTGAGTCCAGTCAGCGAAAGCTCCTGAGATTCTTAGCTGTGGAGACAAAGGTGAACACTTCACCTCTCCCCAGGCCCTGGAAGCCCAGGAGCCCCGCCTTCCCAGCAGGGGTGGCCTGAGGACCTGTGTACAGGAGGTGAGGACCAGCTGCAGGTCTGGGACAGCTGCAGGGAACCACCTGAGGACCTGCAGGGTCAGGCTGTGAAGGTTATGTGACATCAAGGAAAGTACTCCTAGGGGCAGTTCAGGAGGGAGAGAGGCCTTCGGCCAAGGTTTGTACAACAGTGAGCCAGGAATCTCACTAGGCAGCATGCTTCCTAAATCAAAGTTAGTGTGTTCTGGGCCAGGTTTAGTCTGCAAACACAGTTTTGAAAAATGTGAGCACAAGAAAGGCTGGAAGGGCCAGGCGGTGGTGGCGCATGCCTGGAATCCCTGCACTCAGAAAGCAGAGGTGGATGAATTTCTGTGAGTTTGAGGCCAGCTTGGTCTACAGAGTGAGTTTCAGGACAGCCAGAACTATGTAGGAAAACCTTGTCTCCAAAACAAAACAAAACAAAACAAAGTAAAGCAAAACAAAAGCTAGAAGGAAGAAGTGCTTGGCCTATCTAGGAGCAGAAAAGGGGTGGCAGGTGACACCCTCAGCACCATGTGGCTAGCCAGGTACACTCCTGCCATGCTATGCTAATGTGTACATGAACAAGGACTGTGGACACTCCTGAGGAAACTCCAGAGAGGCTCAAACCACAGTGGGACACACAAGGCCTCAGCCTGCAACTGGGGGATCGTCCCTGAGGGACTGTGTAGCCAGAAGAGGTGTGTACAGAAAGAGAGCCACTTTCCCCTGGAGTAAAGGGTCACCTAGCAAAGGGGTGACGTGATTGCTGCCACTAAGATACCCGACTCCTTCCTGGGGTACAAAATATAAACAAACAGATGCATCCAGAGAGCTGAGTGACCAGCAAGATACACAGAAAGTCCTAGCTCAAAGCAGGCGCCACACTGAGCAACTAACAGCAGAAATGAGCCTCTGCCAGATTCCGATGACCAGTGCACATGGGTGAAGTGGCAGATCAATCCCTGGGTGACCTCCAGGTGCTTCATAAAGTGTCATTCTCCACAACAGGAAACAGGGCAGCGTGGATGGTGGGCACATGAAATGTTTGTGGAAAGAGGCTGGAAGACAATGTCTGGAGCTAGGGAAAGGTCAGAGCTATTGGTCAGTAATGGTTCTACCAGCTGATTAAAGTAGAAAGGTATGAACTGTCATAGATTGGGGGGGGCACGGGACACACATCTGTGTGTGAGGTAACAGCAAGGGGACAGGATCTCAGCAGGTGACTGTCTCACCACACTGAGCCTGAAGTAGAGCCATGTGGCCACCTGCATGTATCCTTTGAAGACCTAGGGAAGTCACCAGGAGGTGAAGAGGGTATAGATGCTGAGCTTCAGCCAGAGCAAGGACTACACAACAGGAAGAAGAGCCATGTGTGGCCCCAGACCCTCGACGGCCACACTGGCCACCCCTATAGCACTTTACCGAAACCAAGGACAGCACAGATGTGGGTCCCCCCCACGGTTCCCAATTCCTAGGTCTCTTGTAGACTTACTGCTATCATGGAGGTATTTTAACTCATTTCCAATACACCCTTACCTGGAGATTTGGGAAAGGGAGGACTAGTTCCCAGTTGCAGTATTTGTCCAAATAAGGATTCATTTCAATGAAAATATACGATGAACCCACAGCCCTGGAGGCCACTACTAGGCCTTGGGGCTTACCTAGGGGGATATGGCTTGTATTTCAACTGGATAGTTGGCCTGGGCTCTTTCTCAGAGTCACTCGCCCTCTTAGCTACTCCCCTCAAGGCAGACCCTTGGCACAAGGTGGGAAGGCCTGTCCTTCACCTGTTCTTGAGGACTTCTATGCTCCTGTGTATCTGGAGAAGAAAAGGGAAGGGGGCCACACACTTTTATAGCCACAGAAGCAGCACACAGATGTAGCTGCAGCTCCAAGACAGCTACTGTCCTCCATTAAAACCGTACAAAGTGCCAGGTTTGGTGACACACGTGTATAATCCCGGCACTCAGGAGGCAGAGGCAGGCAGATCTCTGTGAGTTAAAGGCCACCCTGGTCTACAAGTGAATTCCAGAACAGCGGCAGGACTACACAGAGAAACTGGGTCTTGAAAAACCAACCAACCAACCAACCAACTGAACAACAACCCCTCTACAAGGTAAGGGCACTAAAAAGCACACTAACAAGGACAGAGAATGCTCTAAAAAATGTAGTTAGGTAGCCTGGCAGAGGTGGTCTTTAATCCCAGCACTTGGGAGGCAGTGGCAGGCAAATCTCTGTGAGTTAGAGGTCAGCCTGGTCTACAGAGCAAGTTCCAGGACAACCAAGATTACAAAGAGAAACCTTATCTTGAAAACACACACACACACACACACACACACACACACACACACACACACACACACA